ATATTTTGAGTATTTTAAATAATAATCATATCTTAATCAAACATACCAAACATATTTTATTTCAAATCTAAACATTAACAAAATAAGATAAAAAAAAAAAAGAAAGCAAAAAATTAACGTGAACCCAAACTCCTAAGCTTCATGTTTAATTAATTAAAATATCGCCTTCCCCAAATTTGTAAATGTCAAATTCTAACAGATTCAGAGTAATTTATTCAAACGGTGTCCACTGCCATCTACCAATAATCAATGAACCTCATCTTCCCAAATCCCATTAGCATAGCCTCTACTTTTGTTAGGATAACCTCTTATATTCTTTATTGATTGTTGCGTAATGCTCGACAATGACCTATTGTCTACATTTTTGAGCCATCAATATTTAATGTATACCTTTTTGATTGTTTAATATCTACTTTTTTAAGAGAATGGCCAAAGTGATTACTTGCTATCTAATACCAATCAATGCTCATTATTTGCTCCCATTTACAGTAGGTATCCATTCTTTTGGTCATCATGTCTCTCGTCATATTAAAAGGATGATCTAGATGATTGTCCAACACTGTTGGACTTTTCACGTTTCTACTTGATCAATGATCAATTTTTGTCAATTTCTTATGATGAAATCTCTTTCAAGTATTGTGTAAGAAAATAGGCAATTCCATCATTTTGCTCGCCTATACCACAGCTCTGTTGCTCTTTCTCACGTCAAGCAATGCGCATTCATTCCTATTTTTGTGAACATAAATAGGTGAAATATATGCGTTTACAGGCTTACAAGTCTCATATGGAAGCTTTTGTTGAGCATAATAAAGTGACTTTCTGCTATCGCATAGACTTGATGAAAGGATTCATTATGTTTTTAACATCGCTTTGTTATTAAAAAGGAGTACTTATCTGATTTCGTTGAAGATTGGAAGATCACTCATGTATTCTCTCCTCTTGTGATCTGCATCCATGCTCTTCGCCTCCTCTCCTCGGCTGCTGTCTCTTTTGTGTAAAAAAAGCTAAGGTTATTTCTAGTATACTGTGTTGTATTATATTTATTTAGCTGTTATGTGAAAGGACTAGTCTACAATTTATTTTATTTACACATTTGCCACAGATGTAATCTATATAATGAATGGGCTGCAAAAGAAAGAAAGAATGAAATGAAATAGAATTTCTATCCTGTTATTTCTTCCTCTGCTTCTCTTTTCTTTTATGGTATTATAGCAAGACTCTCCTGAAGTCATGAAGATTCATGGACTCTCCATCCTCTCTCTCCTCACCTTAGTCCGGGAAATGGGTCGGGACGATGGAGCGGACCCAAAGCAGGTGATTGAACCTGTGTGTACGATCAAACCCAAGAGATAGGGCGATCTGGCAAGGGCGGTCGATCGAACCTAGAGAAATAAGTCTATCTGGTCGAGGCGGCTGATCGAACCTGGAGAAATAAGTGGATCGGGTAGAGGCGGCTGATCGAACTCAAAGTGGGCGATCGAACTGGTGCGATCGATCAAACTCAAGAGATCAGGGGATTGGGTTGGGGCGGTCGATCAAGCTCAGTAAATGGGTCGATCAGGTTGGGGCAACCGATTGGAGCCAATGCAAGTAATCAAATCAGTGTGGTCGATCAAACCCTAGAGATCGAGTGATCGGGCTGGAGCGGTTGATCGAACTCAAAGCAGGTGATCGAATTAGTGTGGTTTATCAAACCGAAGAGATCAAGCCTGGGAAATGGGTAGATCGGGCCGAGACGACCGATCAAACTCAAAGCGAGTGATCAAACTGATGTGGTTTATCAAACCCAAGAGATCGGGCAATCTCATTTGGGCAGTTAATCGAGCCCGAGAAATGGGTCAATCGGGCTGGCAAGGCCAATCAGACCCAAAATGGGTGATTGAACAAGTGTAGCCGATCAAAACTAAGAGATCAAATGATCAGGCCGGGGCAGCCAATCAAGCCTAAAACGGTCGATCAATCAAACCGGTGCGATCGAGCCAACTGAAGTGACCACGCAGACAAGCAAACAAAATGCAACGACGCCACAAATGATCATACAACCCAAAATACTCGACGACACTTCGAAATCGATTTATCGATCTCACATGGAAACTAGGGTTGAATTGATAGAGAGGCATCAATGTCATATTGTGCGAAGTAACGTGACCTTGCCGCCCGTTTACGACGTGGCTCAAGGAAAACTCTTTGTGATCGAACGAATTACGACCAAAGGGATATCGTCATCCACCCGATCATTTGATTTCACTTATCCATCCAAGTGAAATCATCAGAGCAAACGATGAGGTTGACATAACCTTGTCTTTTATGGGATTTAGGTGCTAGGGCTTTATGGAAAATGCTCGAATTCGTGTGGGAGAGTCCACGAATTTCCCCTATCGGTCTCCTCTAAGCACAAAACCCTATTTCTTAATCTTTTAACAACCAGACATAGGGGCCTCAAGGAAAGGAAGTTGCAAAGGATTAAGGGATTTTACCTACGTATCGGTTGATCGAATAATTTCTTTCTTAGGAAGAAGCTCCCCTCGCTAGAGAGAGTAACGAGGCCATGAAATTTCTTCTCCAAAGTGATGAAGAAGATAACAAGAATGCCAGAATCTTCCTTCTGCAAAGTCAAGAAGAATCTCTTCTCATTGGAGAGTCGTTAGAAAGTTCCCTGAGAGGGAGAAGATGACCACAAAAATGGAGGAAAAGATGAAGAGAATGAAAGAAAATGTTTTCCCTCACCTTCTCTTTGAGGAAGAAGAATAAATCATCCAGGAAAGCTCCTTAAGAGCTCCTCCCAAGCTCCCTTGATCTTTCTCCCTTCTCCAATTCCAATGGTTGCCATCAAATGAAATGAGGCCCTTTTCCCCTGGTTAAACCTCCTCAAAGGGCTTACCCAAAAGATCTAAGCCACTTTCCCCATTTAGCATGGTCCCTAAATTTTTTTTATGCCATTTTAGGGTGGAGAATCAGACAATAAGGAGGAGGACCATTGGTCATGGTCGCCTCACCAATGGGAAACCAGGGTTCGGAGGTCAAAAATTGCTAAATAGGTTCTGGCAGTGTGGCCACACCAGGCTCGGGCATGGTCACACCATTGTTCAAAGTGTCGCAGATCGGGCTCCGACGTGGCTATGCCCAAGGCCCAAAATAATTATGTCGGATGCTCTATCTGGCCGAAGTGGTCACACAATCCTCGGGCATGGTCATGTCGGTTGAGGCACCTGAAGCACTTTGGTGAGGCTTTGGCATGGTCACATCCGATATAGGCATAGTCACACCACTGGTTAGACATGGCCACTCTGGAATCAGGTGTGGTCATGCCATTCCCTAGAAAATTTTGGCTTCCTAAAAGGTTCGTTGAAGGGGTTTCAACCCTCATGTGAACCTCCAGAGGCTCCGATATGAGCAGTTACAACCTTGGGATCTCCTTAAGGTCCAAACGCTTCTCAAAAAAGCTCGAGAAGGTGAACTGTACACGTGTTGCTGAGCAAGACAATTTAATCATAAAATTCGTCTTTCCAGACCTTAAGTTTAAGGCACGAACACACATGAAGCAACCTCATCAATGGTTTATATCAAAAGAGTATTTGTATTAGCCATATAAAGCCCCATGCCACATGAACAAAATTCACCGCAGAGGATACCAGTGGCGATGCTGGTTTGACCACGATCGACTGGGAGTACGGCTATGACGTTATAAAACCCAACTATAGTGCTTTGCTACTGAACGATGAGGTTCTGCATAAAAAAAGTGGATATCAACACATATCTTAAATGTCTAACACCAACAGACGTTGATTATGAAATATATGCAGAAAACTTAGGAGAGAGATTCCTTGCCCTCAAGATAATGAATAGGGATATTATTGGCATATCGGGAAACAACATGCATTAGATTTCACTGAGAAATGTGGTATTTGTCAGTTTTATTCTAATATTACACACATGATACTGATAGAGCTTTTGTTCCTCCAAAGCCTCTTTGCCAGACTTGTTATAGAGGGGAAAAGTATAGGCTTTACCTCTCAAGCTCTGGGGTTGTGCCTTAGAATGGTGAACATTAGAGTTGGAGGCTCCATTATTGTTAGTATTGGATTTGTTGGTCATTTAGTGATTGCCACAAATTCTATAATGGTGGGAGTACTTCCTCACAGATGATGTCAAATTATTGCATGCCAGAGAATTCACCGTGATAAAAATATTAACTTCTTAGTGTTATCGAAATCCAACACAAACACACATAAAAGAAAGCTAATGGAGGGGACACCAAGAGTTTTTACTTGAAAAATCCAAAAAGATAAAAAATCATGAGACCTTGCTCATTTGAAATGATTCCATTATTATGATGTATGTTACAAGATTTTGATGCCCTTAAACACTAATATAGTAATCCAATGATGTCAACAATGCATCACAAGAGTTGGGTGATCTGGCAACAACAGTGGTGGCGGTGATCCAACGATAGCAGCAGTGCGCCACAACACCCGTAGTGTACTATAATAGATGCAATGTATTGCAATAATAATGGCGACCAGTCAACGATAATCCGACATGGCAGCGACCTACAGATGGTCTTGCGGCGACATTTTTAGGGTACGTAAAGTCTTGTAACATACATCAAAAAGTTGAACCATTTCAACTCAATTTCAATTAGTGACGTGATTACTTTTCTTTCGAGTTTTCATTGTGTCTCATCTATCAAAATTTTTTTTAAATGCATACTAAATTGTCATATAACACTGAGAGATAAATATATCTTTTATCACCCTAAATTCTCTACCATGCATCGAAAGGTTAGATAAATATTTATTCAAGCATAATCATGTTTTAATATTAACAACTTTAATTCACGGTATCATAATTATGTCAAGTAATTAAACAAAAAAAAAAAATCAATCAATCGAATATGGACGAATAGCCTGCATGGTGAACTTCAAGCCACAAGTGTTTAAACCAAAGTTCAATTATATCAAATTTTATACATTTGCGCAGTATATGTTCCTCCCTAGTTAAACAAGCCCGGGCTACTTAACAAATCATTAAAGTATATAATATAACTAATTAAATTGTACAATATGTTTAGGTCACAGATCACGTGGGCGAAAGACCCAAGTTCAAGAGGCGGTGTTTCAGAGACCTTTCACATGATGCACGGGCCACGAAGACCCTATAAATACAATCCATGGATGGTCTTGCCGACTAACAACCTGAATCCGTGAGCTCAGTTGACGGATCCCTTCACTCGTATTCCCCTCTCTTGTCGCAGCCGGCCTTCCGGCCGGTCATGGCCGTGGAAGTCGCCGGAACCCTTTTGCATTGGTCGCAGCCGCCGCTTCTGTCTGCCGGCCATCTCTCAAGTAAAGCCCTATCCTTCGTCTTCTCAATAAACGCCATCGGGCGACCCGTTGCGCATCACATAGGTCATAAGTCAAGCTTTCTTGGAACTACCATTGCTCAGCGTTCTCATCAAAGAGGAAGCACGGGGGAACAGAGAAGCAGGGATCGAGTTTCTCCCAGCGCTAGCATCGATGGATTTGGATTCGTGGTTGACGGCATGGACGACGACGACGACGAATTTGTGAAGATGGAAGCTGATCAGTGTCGAATGAATCAAAACGAAGAGTTAAGTAACAGAGGTGGTGACTCTGAACCGTCTTTCTCCCCAGCTTCCGACCCAGTGTGCCCTTCTCTGCTTTCTATTACCTCAGAAGCACGATCGGCAGGGCCCAAACCAGAGATGGAGGGCGATGGATTTGAGCCGAATAAGGTTGAGCCAATTAGAAACAATTGCTTCCATCTTCCGCTATCGCTCCGGATTTTGAAGCAGAAGAAGAAACAGGGGGAATCGGCGGATGTGCTAGACTCCGCATACTCCTCTGTGAAGAAGGCCTTCTCCTCAATGGTATTCATCGTGCGGGAACTCCAGAGCCACACCATTCGGATGCGGGAAGCCCTCTTCTTCTCATCCAACCTCCAGATCCAGGGGATCCTCGCTAGGGTTCATGACGAGATACACGCCTCTTTCGTTTGGCTTTTCCAGCGCATCTTCTCCACAACCCCCACCCTAATGGTCTATCTCATGCTCCTTCTTGCCAATTTCACTATCTTCTCTATCACCGACTACCCAGCCAACGCCGAACCCCCGACTCAATCTGTCTCCACCGCCATCGAAGAATCCGGAAACCCTTCCACCCGACTCGATTCCTCAGCAGTGAAATCATTCTCCGTCGGCCGATCGGCCTCCGTCGGGGGTAGCGGCGGCGGGGGAGGTGGAAAGAAAGCGCAGGCTATCGCCGGCGCAGATGACGATGGTCAGTGGAATCGATCTTCGACTTCTCTTCATAACGGCAGCTGTGAAGTAGTATCGACGGCTTCCGCGAAGGGACAAGATGATGAAAAAGCGTGGAAGGGGATCTTGGAGGAGGTGGAACGCATTCAGGCGAGCGGTCGGCATGAGGTGCTCACGGATCGTGAAACATTGCGGTTGTTCGCATCGCCTGTTAGGGTTGATCTTGAGCCGGAGGATTTATCGGCATACGCGGCGACGGAGTTCTCGTACCGGCGAGCTCTCGCCGAGGGGCTCGATGACCCTCTCATTCTCTCTAATTTCGCCCAGTTTCTCTTCGTTGTCCTCCGAGACCACGACAGGTATATTCTTAAATTCTTTATTTTTTTGTTGTTAATATCAATGATTAGTCACTAATTTTATATAATTCAGTTGGTACTTATGATGATAACTTGATTTGATGATCGGACTAATTGAAATCTATGAAAATTTATATCAGGTCTGTGAACAAAAGTTTATTTTTATATTAAAACTAATTCATTTATGTTTTGGAGTAAAAGAATCATAACCTTTTTCAAGTTTTTTATATAAAAGTCCATGCTATTTTATTTTTTCATCAAAACGTGCATAATTTTTCTTATTTTATATATATAAAAAAATAGCTGATCGTATTCTCATGATATGGTTTTTTAAACTGTGGTAGCAGGTTGATGATTTAATATAAAATTTTTAGTTGTCGCTGTTGGATTTCATTATGACACTTTCCTGCTATTATATCAATTTTTTGACTTTTTCAGAAGTTTTAATTCAAGTGGTATATTTTTTAATTTCCAAGATAAATGCTTTTGTTTTAATTTTGCTACCAACTTTTCTTATATTTGATTAATTTTAATTTTTTTACATTGTGCTAATACTTAAGCTAAAAAGTTTAGGAACAAATCCTAAGTATTTGAATTCTATATTTGGTTGACATATTATTGAGATAGTGTGATTTGATGAGACAAATCAAAATTAAATTAGTTCAAGTTCTTCAACTAAATATTTAGAAACATAATTTAAAATTTATTGAGATCAAAATGGTGAACGCTGGCTTGATAAATGGATCTTGAGTTAAGCTTGATGAGCCAACAAGCTAGCCTTGACTCGACTAATTCACTGGTGAACAAGTCTGTATAAAAAATCATTAGTATAAAATATACGCAAAATATTATAAATTTTAAAATTTTATTTTTAATATTAAAAAATATTTAAAAATATATATATTTTTTTACTTTATATCAACTAATTTATTTTAGTTTATCTCCTAAATTCTGATTTTATGTATCATTTTATTTGTAAGATTAAATCGGAGTAATATTATTTTTTTCTTTTTCATAAGTTTTGAGACAAGTTAATTTAGGAGCCAGCTTAAATTCGTAGACTTAAGCTTGAACTTGATTAAGCTTAAGCTCAAGTCGAGAATGGTCAGACCTCGGCTCAACTCATTTACACCCTTAACAACGATGAATGTTTTGATACAAAGAAATTAATATGTTCCAAACCATTAATTTTAAGCTCATTAAGGCATCTTTTATATCCACTAAAAATATTAAAATTTTGAATGAATTTCCTTGCTTCATCTGAGCCCAAATTAATCTCATTCAAACACTTCAAATCATTGTTAAAATTTCATTTCAGACATTTGGGGGCCGGGTTAAATGAATAGTCATTCGAGGGAAATTATGCAGCTTGCTTGAATGTGGGGCAAAACAAATATTATATTGCTCTTTGGGTGCAGGGCGGAGGAGTATTTTAAGAGGGCGGCTGCGGCGGTGCCGGCGGACCCGGAGGCATTAAGTCGGTACGCGAACTTCTTGTGGTTGGCGAGGAAGGATTTGGGGGCGGCGGAGGAGACCTTCCTGGAAGCCATCGAGGCAGATCCAGGTAACAGCTATCACTCAGCTAACTACGCCCACTTTTTGTGGAACACGGGAGGCGAGGAGACCTGCTATCCTCTGGATTCATGTGATTCATAAAAACTTTTGTTTTCACCACCACTTAAGTCTTTTATGGCAATAAATGGAAATATCACTTTGAAAAGTAATTGCTGTACCTTCGCTGTCTCTCTCTCTCTCTCTCTTTTACATAGAGACCACCTGAAACATTTATATTTATAAAATTATTAAAATGTTATTATAAAAAATTATAAATAAATCATCATTCATCATATGAATGGGATCTGAAAGGAGATAGCTTAAAAAATCTAGAGCCTTATCAAATTATCAACACTAACAACCTCAATCACCAAAATATCATAGTTCCATAATTGAATTTTGGCCGTTATCGCTCAGCCATCTTCACTTGATCTAAATGTTAAGACTTGATAGTTACTACTAATTGTCATCACTCAATCGACGTCAAACTATTTTCAAGCAATCACCATACACCCACGATATTAGCATATAGTTGTCATCCATTTCTTGGCCCATCATCATCAATCACTTTTTATTATTTCTTTCATATTCCCTACATTAATAACGAGTGGTCAAGATTACGCTTCATATTATATATACTTCATATTTTATATATATATATCTATATATTTCAATTGAGAGAAATAATTATTTTGTATAATTTTATTCCCTATGATTTTTTCCTTTTTCAAGTTTATCACATACAACTTTCGTTGACAGCCATGAACATTTGTTATCTAATTATATGGACATTTTTATATAAAGTTAAGGGGATAAGCTTTCCCTCTGCTATAACAATGTTTTTGTCAACATGCAATAATTCAGAATTGTGAAAAATGAGGGCAGAGGACTCAACAAGTTGCGCTAAGATCAAAAGGTCTGAGTGTTTTGGTAGATTGGATCAAGATGGAATGGAAAAAAACTTGTTGTGTTGGTCTACAGCTTTATTAATTCAGCATATATGATTACAACAATTTGTTCTTCCATATTATTGGAGAAGATGAGACTATAAAGTAAAGGGGGCATTTACATACATACCGCGCAATTCTTATATGCTTACATAACACCTAAACTTTGATATTTACATGCATGCAACTTAAAACTTTAACATTAATTTAAAATTATCATTATTACTAACTTTTTAAATGTGGAATACATGTTTTCATGCATAGGTTTGTGATATCAGACTGTTATAAATGTAAATATAGAATTTTAGGTGTCAGGTATGTAAATACATAAGAATTGTGTGGTATGTATGTAAATTTCACTAAATTAAAGGGCTTGTTTGATTTCTTATGATTGTAGTGGATATTATGAGGGAAATACATGAGAGTGATGATAGAAATAATCATTTTATAGAGCTCTATTTATAACTTTTAGGAGGTACAATTTTTTTACTTTAGGCAAGGCCTAAAAGCTATTATTATTGACTCGATGGTCTTATAAGGAGAGTTACCCGAGTATTATCAATGAAAGAAGTCTCCTTTTTTGTGCAAATAAAGTGATTATTTTATTACAACATCACTCAGATGTAAAGAAATTCAAGCAGTTTTGTTAAATTCAGATAACCCTTCACCTAGGGGTTGTAACTCTCCTATAGGGAGTAGTCATCATAATTTTCAATTTTACCTAGGTTGAGATCTTGTGGTATTCAATCTATGGGTTGGCCGACTTCATTATTTATTTTGTCGAGTTATATTTTAGAAAGGGTTTTTCCAAAGTTGTCATTAACATTCAGTTATTGAGTCAAGTACGGTCCAAAAGTTTTGGTCATTTTCCTTCATCGCTCAGGAAACTTGCCTATGAGTGGTAAGTACCCCAAGTGTTATGGGCAAATTCACATTGAAGAGATTAAAAAACATGAATGCAATAAAACAAAAATAAAAAGGAAGTGGTTTCTGAGTGATTTTTTTTTGTTAGAGTTTTTACTTTTTGTATGTACTCATTTCTTCGTGACTCACCTTCTCTTGGACAAATTATTTTACTAAAAATTTGTTTGGGAGAAATTTCTTGGGAGAGCAATTTTTTTGATCAAATAGAGAAGGCCGAGTGCAGGAGTCGATTGGATGAGACCTGCTGCATGAGGATGGCTGGAGGAGGCCTAGAGCATGAGGCAGAGTATGAGCGGTCGAATGGATGAGTTTGAATATTTTCTAGAGATAGTTATCTAGTGCATTATATGTTGCTAGTTACTTCTCTATGGCTATGATATTCTCTTTGTATTGCTCCTCTTCTGTTTGTGGCAAGATTTCATGTTCATCGCATTTTTTAGGGTGTTGAATCCAGACTCGTCTTTCAAAGATACCCATGAAATAGAATGTGAAATGAGGAAGAGAGAGAGATTGTGAGAGAGCAGAGAAAGTATTGTATTCTCTTCTAATAACTATTCTTTGGTTGAGGAAATAAAGATCCTCATTCATATTCCCTCTCTTCCACCTTTATATAAGGTACTTTATTATAAAATATGCATAGGTAATAATTACATTCAAATATACATATTCATTGCCATTAGATTGGCTAAAAATTAATTTAAAAAATATAAATTTATTCAAATTGTTATGCGATAGAACGTTCTTCGATTATAATATTGATTTTAAAATTTAAAGCAATCTCAACACTTACTTAAAAATACTAATTTTATTTTCACTCAAAATGAATTAAAATTAAATCTACCATTTTCGGGCCACCATTTACTTGAGGATTGCTTGACCGATCAATCAAGCTCAAGGCTTATTATGAAAGATAGACATTAATATTAACCCAAATTAATGTTATAATAAATTGCTAAATATAATAAATATCTATGAGATAAATAATAAAAAAATATTTAATTTAAAACATTAATTTTAATTTTTTTGAATTTTTTCTGATAATTTATTTTTGATAATATCTTGAATGTTCTTTTGTTAATACTTCTGAAAATAAGTGGGCTCATGAGCTCACAAGTCCACTCAAAATTAACCTGGGTTAGAGTCATTAACTAGTGTAGTTTAGCTCCAGGTTTACCAATCGACAGGAGTTAAGAACACCTGTACTTACCACCACCTCATGCCCTAATTTGTCTTCCCTTAATCAAACAATTCGATGCCATGCAATGCAGAAATGTGATGTTGCCCTGATGGACCCTTCTAGTTTTTATTTGGTGGCCGCCCACAAACTTTCCCCAACTTTCAGGATTTTTAGGGTTTTAATGTCACATCCGAGTTCGTACCAATTATTCGGACGGCTGAGCATTTAACAACACAAACTTGACATCATGTTAGCTTTTTATTATTTTGTTTTCTGCAACATTTTTTGAACATATTTAGAATCAATCTTTGACACGTCTCGTCATGAATCTTAAGACAATATTTTGAACAAAAAATATTAAAATCTTGATAAAAAGTCATCCAGAGCTCCGATTTGAAACAAACTTATAGTCAAACTAACCGACTCGATAAGACAGACCTAATGATATCAAAGTTAGTCCAATCAGAGTCAGATCAAGCCAAGATCAAATCATTAAACCACTCTTTGAGGATTTACGGACACATTTGAGAGATCAAACATATATTGAATTTAGCGAGTTCATAGCCGAATAGAGCGTCTCCACAAATCGAATCCAACGAGCCCAAGATTACTCAATTATGGTATCATTAAGATGCTAAAATGTCTATCAAATTCCATCTGATCGATCAAAATAGTTCATCTTTCTATATTAATTGCATCCAGAACACTATAAATAGAGTCACACCCCTCACATGAGGGGGAGACTGAAGAGAGAACTTGAGGAAAAACAGCTCAAGCTCAACATCATTCTTGCCATCGTCGATCGCCATCGACCACCACTGACCGTCAGCGAACAACGCCGACCTCCGTCGACCACCTCCGACCACCGTTGAACAGACGTCGTCAGTCGACGTTGTAACTTGAATAATCTTGTAACACGCTCCCGTCTATGGAACAAGGGTCCTATGTAATCATCAACTTATAGTGGATTTTTATAACTGGGTCAGACCCGCCCTGTGTTTTTTTTCTTTACGGGTTTTCCACGTAAAAACTGATGATGTCATCACAGATTGTTTTCCTTTTCATCTAGGTGTAGGGCTGCCAATAAGACTGTCAAAAAAACTCGTTGTTCATGAACAACTCGTGTTCGACTCGTTCGTTAAGTAAACAAGCCAAACAATGACTTTACAAACAATTTTAAGCACGAGCTTATTTCAAACAAACTAAATTTCAAACGAACCAAACACGAACACAAGCTATGTTCGTTCGTGGTCGGTTCGTTTACACCCCTAGCTGGCCTGGTCATTAATGCAAAGACCGCAACCCTTAATATACTTACCAAGTCTTTTTATCTCTTGACGCCCTTACATTGTTTGATCTCTGGTTTTTCTCTACACCCCTCGATCCCTCATTCCCACATTCAAAGCCAAGAGCTTGAACCCCTTCCTTCCTCCTATGTGATTAGCGATTCTAGGGCATCCTCCTCTTCAGTTCAGAAGTCTAGTACTCCGAAGCCCTCTCTTCATTCGCCCCTACGCCAAAATTGTACGAGGGCTTCTACCCCTTCTTTATTTGCACGAAGCCGACAAAAGAGCGCAAGGGAACCCTTCCTTTTTGCAAGCCTTGTAAGTTGAAGCTATCCCTATCACCTTTTTGGCAAGTGGATGCTCTCAACTTCATTTTTGTTGATTTTTGAGTTATTAGTCTTACCAATGATTTATTAGGTTTGATTAAAATGCTTTTTTTTCTGAAATCTACATTTCGGCTCGTTTACAGCCCTATCTATATGTGTGTTGAATTCTCGTACAATGATAAGACGATAATTCATTACTCTACCGTCGCGAATTTTCCAGCATGCATCAACTCTGACCAAAAATCTCTTTTATGAGAGCACGCAAATTTATAAGAACAAATAGAGTAACATTAAAAATGTAAATAGAAAAGTTAAATATGTAAATATGGACTTTTCTATTATCAATTCATGATTCCATTGTGAATAATCATAAGACACTTATTCTGCCTATTTCTTACTTATAATGGTGGAGCAAGAAATTTCCAAAAAAGGGCCACAAAACATTTTTTAAGAGAGCTCCAAGAAATTTTCAATTTGACTAATGACTGTTTGATTTATGGTCAATTATGCTCCCATAGACGTGCTCTTGACATAATTGGATTGGGCTTTCAAATTAAATCGTTTCGACTCCCGATTATAAATTTGATAAAAATGAAATTTAAATGATCTTCATGTAACACAAAAGATTAAATGGATTCCAATTTGATTTAGTTTAGATGCATCGAACATCATATACGCCCAAAATAATAAGCGAAATGTCGAGCAGAGTCCTGCTCATCACACATCTTCACTGAGAAGGGGCCATTTACCTAAAATTTACATTTCTACATTTATATCACCCGAATCTTTCATAACACATCAATAATATCACAATTAAAATAAAATAAAATAAAAATTGAAATGCGGCTTTTCAAGTAAATTTGCAGTTATGCAAAATTTTAAGTTTTGGTGTTTAGATGCATAAATACATATGAATTGAAGGTATATATGTAAATCTTCCTAAATAAAAAAAAAAGGATGACTTTAACTACAGACATTATTGACAAAAGGTGGACTATCACATTCTAGAGAGAATGAATAAATGAGGGAAAATGTTAAGAATTTTTATATCAAAAATTAATTATATTTTATTTCAAAATGAATGCAACAAAAGTTAAGTGATTATTTATATGTTGCAATAAAACTCAACTTGATCAATTTTTTTTTATATAAAAATAATACGACCCAATTGATATTTTAGGGAATAAAGATATGGTTTGTTGATTGGGAGTTTTAGCCTTTTTCATCATCACTTGCAATCCAAACAAATGCATTACATTATTGGGAAATTCATTAGCTTTTGTAAATTATAATTTGATCAAGTTGAGTTGAAATTATATCACCGGATCCATCTTTGATTTTATCGCTGATGACAATTTCTCCATCTCTCTATTTCTTATAAAATTCCAATTGAAATCGCCATGGAAGATGTGCAAATCGCACTCTTTGCGGGCAAATTCACCCACCCATGAATCTCTCTCTCTCTCTCTCTCTCTCTCTCTCTCTCTCTCTTT